AACCCTAAACCCTAAACCCAGGTAAGCCACATCGCCGCAGAAAAATCTGCAGCCGCCCTCGAAGAGGCGAAGCACCAGCTCGGCAGTGAAGAGCCCAGTATACACATACCTGGAGATTTTGACTTAGGGTTTAGGGTTTCTTGGGTTTAGGGTTTAAGGGTTTAGGGTTTAGGGTTTAGGGTTTGGGGTTCAAGGTTAGAGCTTAGGGTTTAGGGTTTAGGGTTTAGGGTTTAGGGTTTAAGGGTTTAGGGTTTAGGGTTTAGGGTTTAAGGTTTAGGGTTTAGGGTTTAGGGTTTGAGGGTTTAAGGTTTAGGGTCTAAGGTTTAGGGTTTAGGGTTTAGTGCGCAGGTTTGGCAGGGCCATATAGGGGAGTCATGAGGACTTGATGGTGTGCGTGAGGGTTAATGAAGTCTCTATCTTCAGAGTGGTTTACAAAGGTTTTCAATCCCCCGCAGGGAGCCAACACTAGTAGAGATGCAGGATGCAACTAGAGTTGGGGGTGTCGGTTTTGAAACCCTGAATCACAAAATCCTAAACTCTAAACCCCAAAACTCCCAAGCCTTGCAGACCGGGGTCGGACCTGGCAAGAAAAAAAACCACGGCCCCAGTAGCACGTTTGGGCATCGAGGCCTAAGAGTGTCGGAGGCCTGTTTAGGGTTTAGAGTTTTGGGATTACTAAACTGAAAAATACCCGTAATGACGTTTAACATGTAAGCTGACAACAAATCCCGAAGGAGCGGTATGCCAAAGCAAACACGAGCTAAGCCCCCAAACACTGAAGCCTTAACCCAAACCCAACACCCGATACCCAAGCCGCAGTGTGCCAGGGCACCCAACAATTTGCATCTCCGATGAGCGTTCCGCATCGCTGTCGACGCCCACGGCAAACTGAACATCAAGCCCAATAAAGACCTCGGGTAGGCTTAATAGCGGGGCCTGAATACTAGTTATATAATATATAGGCTTGGGGTATGTTAGACTCTCGTTACACTAGGGACCCCACGCGTGGGGTATCCGTCATTGCTCAGGCTTCCATAGTATGGCTCGCTCTCTGTACGGGCTTGGTGTGTATGTAGGCTCAATGACTGCAGCGTTTCGGGCTTAGAGCAAGCGCTCAGCGGCCTAAAGTTTCTACATGGTTTGTAGTCTAGGCAGTCTAGAGTCTAGGCAGTCTAGGGCTTTAGGGTTTAGAGTTTAAGGCTTCAGGGCTTAAAGTTTAGGGATTTAGGGCTTAAAGTTTAGGGCTTTAAGGTTTAAAGTTTTGGGATTTAGGGTTTAGAGTTTAAGGCTTTAGGGTTTAAAGTTTATGGATTTAGGATTTCAAGTTTAGGGATTTTGGGCTTACATTTTTGGGCTTTAGGGTTTGAAGTTTATTCGGGCTTCAGGACTTTAGGGTGTAGGGTTTAGGTGCTACAGGTTCAGGGAGCCCCTTTGAAGGATCTCCACAAAGCCTAGTAGGTACCGCTTACTCACTAATCCAGGAATATACCCTGAAATGATAAGGAATAATTAAGGGTTTAGGGTTTAGGGTTGTAAGAGAGATTCAGGGCATGACCTTAAATTGTAAGGAGCCTTGTTTAAGGACTCCACTTTCGGCAGACTCCTTACGCGAAGGATCATACAAATTGGAGCAGGTGACGCAGCAGTCGAAAACCGGAATTTTAGGGTTTACAAGTTGGGTTTTTGGGGCATAGGGTTTGTTTAACCCAAACCCTAAACCCCAAAACGCCTGAAACTCTAAAGCCCTAAACCCCTCAACCCCAAACCCTAATTCAACCCCTCAACCTTAAACCCTCAAATCTCGCCAAAGCTCAGCATTCGTGATGACCACCGCGGCAAAGAAGGCCTCAAAAGCCTGGTGCCTGGTTGAGGTTTGGGGTTGTTGCTCAGGGCTTAGGGTTTAGGGATTGGGGTTTGAGGTCTAGGATTTATAGCGATTTCGGACTCAGGGAGTGTGGGGCCTTTAGGTTTGCTTGGGTGTGGGCTTTTGCAGTTAGGAAGAGTTTGGGGAATTGGGGCTGCAAAGATAGCAGACGTCGGTCAAGACTGGTTTTGCTGACAACTCCCGCAGTCTTCGAAAACTCTGAGACCAAAGGGCTTAGGGTTTCGGAGCATACTCCTTAAACCTAAGCCCTAAATCTCAAGCCTAACACCAAAGATCCTACATCTTTAGCGCGAGGCACAAAACAAAGGCCGATCCTCCAAAAACCCGAAGCCCTTAAGCCTGTAGTAACCTGTGCGCGGCCTGACCATCTTCTTGACGCACCCATCTGTGTCCACCTGACCAGCCTTGTCCGTCCTGCAGAGAACTTATACCAGCCCAAATTACTTCCGGCCGCAGGACACCATCCACATGAACAGATGTTTGGAGTGCAGCCCAAAGATTACGGAACCCCTTTCCTAAGCAGCCTTATGTCTTATGTAGTTATAGAGGGGTCATGCAGAAAGTTGTAGGTGGATTCCTTGTCGAACCGGTTTTGTGTTAAACCCTAAACCCTAAACCCTAAACCCTAAAGTGTGTCTTGATGGAAGGGCCCCCAGCCTGTCGAACTTGCATGCTGCGCATCGGACTACACCGTGAAATGCTGGAGGATTGAGTTCAATCATACTTTTTCGGAGGGCCCTATTAGTATTATTATTACTATTATTATTATTGAAGTTCCCTAAACCCTAAACCCTAAACCCGAAGCCAGGTTCGGCAAGCCAGGAGAAATCTACTTCTGGCTCAACAAGACGGAATGCCAAACTGCTAGTGGTTGCCTTTCGCTTCCTCCGGGCCATGACCTCAAGACCCCGACCCTTGCCCCTAAACCTTGAGGCTCTAAGCCCTGAACCCTGAAGCCTAAACCCTAAACCCGTAGCCCTGAACCCCTGAACCCTAAACCCTAAACCCTGAACCTTGAACCCTAAACCCTAAACCCTAAACCCTAAACCAAACATCGTGACCAAGGGCCACGTTAGCACGACCTCGGAGAGCTCGCATCTGCCCTAAACCCAAAGACTACACGCTGCAAGAGGTTCTCCAAACCCAAAGAGGCTTCGGGTTGACGCTAAGGGTTTGGGGTTTAGGGTTTAGGGTTTAGGGTTTAGGGTTTAGGGTTTAGGGTTTGGGGTTTAGGGTTTAGGGTTTAGGGTTTAGGGTTTAGGGTGATTCTCCTAACCCAAAGTGGTTTAGATACACCGAGCAGATCAAACCTAAAGAGAGTCAGAACACACACACACACACACACATATAGATATATATATATATATACACATAGACGGAAATATGGAAATATGTTGTTAATGTCTTAGAACCCTAAACCGGAGATCCTTCGCCGCAGCTCGAAC